TTTCCCCTCCCGCTCCTCCTCCCGCTCCTACCGCCCCTCCTCACGGGCCTCCTCCGCCCCTTCTCATTTCTCCTCGTGCTCCTTCTTCCGCTCCTAACCCCCCTCCCCGTTTCCCCTGCCGCTGATCCTTCTCCAGCTCCTCCTCCTGCGGCTCCTGCGCCCCTTTGCATTTTCCCTCCCACACCTGCTCCCGCTCCTTTTCCCGCTCCTTTTCCCATCCCTCCTCCCGCTCCTCCCGCTCCTCCCGCTACTCCTCCCATTCCTCCTCCCGCTCCTCCTCCGCCAAACAACGTGACAAAGATCCCGCCATAGCCAGCACCACAGTCCATGCACGGCACTCTCGCAGTCCGCACCACCCCGCTGCCACGCCACCGCCCACGCACCGCACTCCCCACAGCTCCACGCGATGTACACCCCGACCTGTCCCCGCCGTGGATGTGAAGCAAAGAACGCTCCGATAACCTCCTCTCCCCCCCGCGCTAAAAAAAAAAAACAAAAATCCACTGTCCACGCACCACACTCCCCACAGGCCCACGCGATGCGCACACCTCGCTCGCGCTAAAAAAAAAGAACAAACGCACAGTCCACGAACGCGCTCCAGTCCCACCACCGAATGTCCGCCCACGAAACGCCGCCGAATTCCCTTGCCGCAGTCCCACCCCCAGCCGCATCGAATTTCGCTGGGCCCAGTGGGAAGCGTCACGCTGGGCCCTTTGCATTCTTTAAGAGTATAGGGAGAGTAAAGGGATATATGAAGTTGTGAACTTAAATAATTAAATTACTAAATCCAAAGTTCAAAGTTCAAAGTTAATCATACTTTTTTCAAAAAAAAATTCTCTGTTTCTTTAGTCTTGTGCCTGCTTTGCACTGTTTGCAACTCTGCATGTCTGGTAGTTAAATGTGCTGGTTGATTTGCTGCAAGACACGTGATCTGCTGCCTGAACTACAGAGTGCAAAGCAGGTAAGTGCCTGCCAACACCCCCACCCAAACCCCCCCACCACCGTTTTTTTTTTCCGGGCCCGGACATTTTTGCAACCCGGGGACCGGTCCGGACTTGTCTGGTGTCCGGTGATGTCCGGTGTCCAGTGATGTCCGGTGACCGTTCGAGACACTGGTCCGGAAGTGTCCGGTGTCCGGGTCCGGGGTTACCATGCCCACAACGGCTTGCATTTCAGAAGGAGAAACAGGCAGGCAGACTGACATATAGACATAGTAACATACAGTCAGACAGTCAAGCAGGCGGGCAGCCAGAAAGACACAAAGGCAGGCAGGGAGGCAGGCAGCCACACAGACAGACAGACAGTCAAACACACAAGTGTCCGGATTTGCTGCATTGCATGAGCTATCTGTGAATCAATTATTTCGCAGCTTCTGTAACATCTACAGCAGCTTCTGCTACATCTTCAGCAGATTTGCAAGTTAGCTGATATCACTCACAGATGTTCTTGTGATCTCATTCAAGGCTGTTGCTCGCATCCGAACAGGGGACAGGCTACCGTCTTCACCCAAAAAGAATGGTGGGTCGTTATGGCTGCATCTACACAGACAGTAGCCCCAAATACAGCTGTGATGACCACGCGTTCTATTCAGGTGAAGACGGTAGTGACTCGACACCCATGGGTGTGGGAGAAACGATGCGAGCAACAATCGATTGGACTCCAATCTATAGCAGTAGCATTGCTCCTCTAAGCATTGCTCCCACCCCAATCACTGGATCAATGATTGCCAAAACAATACGAAAAATACTAAAAAGATATTTTCAATGATCACTCCTTCAATTTCGTTGTTTAAATGTATCTGGATCCAAGCCTGGGCCTCTATCAGGCCAGTCTCGATCTGGATGTCTAGATTATTGTGTAGATATCCAGACTGTCCAGAAGCATCCAGACACAAATCGGACCCGACAGTCGGGATCCATCTGGTATAGGGTCCAGGGTGACCATGCTTGAGACGTTCCCAACTTCCCAATTTATTTTGCTGATTCTTTTCTACGCCCAACACTAGCTTGTCACACCAGCCCAGAATAAGACCAGCCAGTGGACGCAGGGTCTCCTTGCACCCACTTTCGATAAAACTGAAAAAAAACAAAGGGGTGGTTTAAAACATAAATTGTCAGCATTTCACAAATCTGCTCCACAGGTTTTGCATCACTTTCAAACACAGCTAAAATCTCTGTCACGTCACACATGCAGACAGGAATGACCGACTCGCAGTCATAGAACAAAGATGACAGACGGCTTGTAGCACTTCACAGTAAATCTCACGACATCAAGCAGTTCATACCGGTGAAAGAGAGCTGAATTCTGCCACATATAATGAACAACCAGTTCAACTCTGGATCATCTTGCCGCATGGCTACATTGGGAAAACAGCATCCTTCTCTCACTTGTGGTTCACAAATTTATGAGGATTTCAGACTAAACTCACAGCGACGAACACAACATGCTTTCAGACTTATCCTGGAATCTGAAGTTTAGGAGAAAACCTCTCTCTTAATGCCGGGTGGGTACATGCACATCAGACACCAACCAGTCATCCAGACGTCTGGATTTTAACTATGCGTAGGTGGCGATCAAAATCCATGTAAAGCTCACAGCTGTTGACAATCGATCAAAATCATGTCAGTCCAATGGCCAGAATCACAATCAACCAAAGCTGAAAGATTATCAATAGACCAAACCTTGTTGTCAGATGATTCAAAGCAGCAAAAGCCCCCAGCTTGACTGGATCATCTTTAGCTCCAATTCTCTGCAAATGAGTCAGAAAAAGAAACAGGCATCGGACATTGAAACACTTAAAGCCAAAGAGCAGAACAAAAGTAAAACAGAGAAGTGTCTCACTTGTCACGAGAGAGAGAGAGAGAGAGAGAGAGAGAGAGAGAGAGAGAGAGAGAGAGAGAGAGAGAGAGAGAGAGAGAGGGAGGGAGGGAGGGAGGGAGGGAGGGAGGGAGGAGGATAGCAGGCAAGGAAGGTGGAGTCATTGAGGTGGGACCAGGAAAACAAGGAGGGGAAAGGGATGGGGAACAACGGAGAGCGGGCTTGGAGGAGCAAGGGGACCACGCTTTGCGGAGGCAGGTCAAAGAGAGGGAGAACAGGATGGAGGAAGCGATATTGGTGATGGGAGAAGCCGTCAAAGGAGACAGCAGACAAGGGAGAAAGAAGGAGACAAGAGGGGGGGGAATCGGACAGAAGACGGAAAATAGGAAGTTGGCAGAGGGAGGGAGGAAGATGAAAGACGAAAGTGAGCGAATGAAGAAGACAAGTGGAGAGAAAACTGAGGGAAAGGCTGATGCAAACCACCACTCCATCCGGACCTGTTTTGACAAACTAAAATGTGCATCTTCCCGAGCCTGAAATCTACAGTGCCGCCGTGAGGAAAAAATCCACCACTACCTCCGATCCTCTTTTTGCCAAACCTGAATTTCACTGCGTATCAAGTTTTGTGAGCCTGGGTCCCATTCTATTTTCTTTTCAGGTACTCAAGGCAGCTTCATCCCAAAAAGAAACAATATATTTTTTTTAATAAAGGAGATAAACAAAAAATAAAAATTCCTAACGTTGTGATAGCCATCAGATACATTCCAGGAGATGCTAGAGAGACTGTTACATGCCCAGTTGGGCGATGTATCTATATAGCCAAGGATCCGCAAGGTGATGAAAAGGACTGAATGGAGAATGCAGTGCTGTGGAATCTCAACAAGCAGTGTACATCCTGATACATACAAAAATGGCACATAATAGCGCAGGGGAAGACTTAGATATAAGCCCTGGACTGACCGGGACTGACCTCTCTTACGTAGTACAAGACAGCGCAGCAGAATGCTAGAATACCGATGACTAGCCCAATCAATGTCTCAATACAGACCAAACATACATCATCCTCATCACAAGGTGTGAAGGGGCCTGGCGCTACACACAGGCAGAATGTGCCAGGTCCAGACCATACACAAGACGAAGAGGAGGGGATGAGACGAAGAAGGGGGAAGATGGGAATGTCGTCAACACCAAGTCTCCGTTACAAGTCCCAGATAATCCCTCGTCAAATGTCTGAAGCTCAATGTCGAGCCTGGATCCAAATGTCACCAAGCCTGCTCTCTAGTAGTCTGCTGATGCAGTGAAGTCAGGTAGAGAGAGGGTGAGAGGGAGATGGTGGACTGAGAAGAGGAAGAAGAAGAACTCTCTCTCTCATGTGCCAGGTACTAACGTCTGAAGGTGGCGCCGTGCTGCAGGTACCTCGAAGACAAAGCTGGAGCTATGGCGCTGCAGGTAAGTACCACTCAAGCTTCTACTAGCGCCCAGCACTGAAGACTACTGCTAACGCTACTACTACTACTGCAGCGCTCCTCCAGAGTGCTGCTGCCGAATCCTGAAGACTACCTCCTGCCTCCTGAACTGCATGTGAAGTGCCTGGGAAGTCCCTATGAACTACCTGCAGCCTGCAGGGCGGGCCAGTCTTATATAGTGCTGGCCCGTCCTGGAGGCTGCTCTTGCCAATGCCAAAACGTGGCAGACCCTGGTGTTGAAGCTCAAACAAAGGTTGTCTTGAAAACAGGCCAAAAATGGCCCGTGCTAAAACCCTGGTCTGGTGCCTGAGTTTCAGGGCAGGTCGATCTTATGAGGGCCTGAAAATGGTCATCCGTTTCAGGCTGAAAAGACTCAAGGCCTGGAGGGCCCTGTTTTGGGCTGAAACGACACAGGGCCTGTAGGCCCTTGTTTTCAGGCTTTCAGGCTGAAACGACACAGGGCCTGTAGGCCCTTGTTTTCAGGCTTTCAGGCTAAAAACGACACGGGCCTGAAAATGGCCCGTGCAGCCTGTTGCAGGCGCAGCATGTAACAGAGACTGTGCACGCAGTGAGGGCGTCTGTCCGATGAACAGCACGTGAAGAAGTAAAAAAAAGCATCTATTATGCTGTGATTGCGGTTGGATACAGGACGCTACAGTACTAGTGTGAGTATGAGGTGAGTGAGGCAGTCAGTTGCCCCGTGTGGAATACGCACCCCCTCGCTGGCAGGGCACTACAAGAAAATGAAAGGAAGAGAAAAAAACAAAAACAACAGCAATCACGTTCCACACATACTGGCCAGTGTAACGACCCACCAAAACACAGATCGAGAACACTGCTGATTTCTGGGTTTTGCCGCTGGAATGTATGCCTTGCTGAGATTCCCGCATTCTACTGAGTTCTCCAAGTCTGTGTGTGTGCGTGCCTGCTGGTCTGCGTGCCTGTCTGAGTGCTTGTCGGCCTGAGTGTGTGTGTGACCCGCAAGGGCACTTGTTCGTTTGGAGGTCCTGCCGGGCTGGTACTTACCTGTGGCCGTGAGTTTGAGGGTTGCAGCAGGGAAAAACACTCAAGTAGCGGGGAAAACGCTCAAGTAGCAGGCAGGCCAGTACCACTCAAGTAATGGCAGAGTTGGCATTTTTACAGGCCCAGTAGCGGTAGGCTAGAGGTAGGCCAGTGCCAGTCCAAGCAGCCTGAGTCTAGGGACTGTACGGACGATATCAGAGCCTGCAATGATTTTTCCCACAGAAAGGGAGGAGGTACCGGTTGTTTGGAGGCCGCGCGACCTGGAAGTCACCGCCCAAGAGGCAAGTAGGCCGCTATCTTCTGGAGGAGCGAGTAGCTCCTCCTCATTTGCGGTGTGCAAGGTTGAGCGACATACTGCTTGAGCGAGCGCTGGACTAAGAGCACTGCCTGGGAGGACGAAGAGGAGCTGGGCGCTCAGCCTGGCTATGGCGAGTAGCCCAGCCCGAGGAGAAGGAAGAAAGGGGCGAAGGAGGAGAGTGGCGGGGTACATACCTGGCTATGGTGGACACCATCTTCATCACCTTGTTGGGCGCCGCATCTGGAATGCCCCAGTTGGGGTAGTACCGCACCAAGGAAGCTTCAAGGCAGAGTCAGGCATGGAGGCCAGAAGAGCAGTGATCATAGCTGCTTTGAGTTGTCTTCTGCACAGGAGGGCAGAGCCCTTAGTAGTCTGCCATACCCTTGGCATGTGAGAGGAAGGCGAAGGGGGAAGCCATGGCTATGGTGGACCTATTGTTGTGCTTGCAGTAAGAGGGAACTTCGGATATTGATTTTGGTTCAACCACTCATTGTTATTGAAAAGAAGGATAAGATTGGCGAAGACGAGGTGCAGGAGGAAGGTGGAGAGAGAAGGGGGATTTGTCATTGGTCTTGCTGGTGTACATCTTCTTCTTCTTCTTTTTCTTTCTCTCTTCTTCTTTGGTCTCTATCTCTTTGCAAGTGCTTTCATTTCTTTCGCAATTGGGTGGCATTGTCTTTCCTTGTGAATTGGCACTTCGGAAATGACCAGGATCGTAACACAGATACATTCCTCAAAGCACTGGTGAGACTTCCACCTCTGTGAGGGCCTTATCCTACGTTGCTGGATTTCAAAGTTCTTAGGTTTTCCCCCCCCCCCCTCACCGCAGGCCCACAGGGTCCAAATCTTTTTTTTTTTTTTCCCTTTCCTGCCGAGACTGCGTGGACCTCCGAAAAAAGCGGTTCAATGTCAATTCCCACTGGGGACTACAGCTGTGAAAGGTGGTGATGGTTTAAGGTACCCTTCCCCAGCAAACAGCTATCAGGCCTGGGCACTGCAGATTTTGGCCCGGTACTTGATAACAAGAAAACTGCGCAGGAGCCGTTGGAGAGGTGGTTTAAGATGGAATTTACGAGGGAAACCCAAGGCAGGGAGGGATAGCAGTTGGGAGGTGAGGAAGCGAAGAAGAGAGAAGAAGGTAGGGAGAGGGGGGGAAAACAACGGACAAAGGGTGAGAGAGAAGGAAGAGGGGGTAGTGATGCTAAATGTGGCAGAGGGGAAGGAAATGGAGAAGGAAAGACAGTGGAGAGAAGGAAAGCAACAAGGAGGAGGGAAGAAGAGCGATGAGGGAACAGAGGCAAGGCAGGGTGGAAGGGATTGAGAGATGCAAGAGAAAGAAGAGAGAGGGGAGAAGAGGAAGTGGAAACAGGAGAAAGGAAGGAAGAGAAGGACACAAAGGGAGAGAAAGGGGAGATATGGGTAGTTTGAGGTCGATCGAGCAACCAGGCGAGCTGTCAGACAACGTGCTTTGATTGTGCCATGACCGACTGTGGTAGTCAACCGAGCAACCAGGCTAGCTTCCAGAAGGAGACATGCTTTTCTTCATGCCATGACCCTACTCTGTTAGATCAGATGAAGTTTATCAGAATTCTCTCTCTCTCTCTCTCTCTCTCTCTCTCTCTCTCTCTCTCTCTCTCTCTTTCCCCCCCC